GGTGTTTTCCCCATTTTTTTGCCTATGGCCACTGGTGCTCACATTTCTTAACGTAATAATACCTCTAAAGTTACGATGCTTCCAGCTTCAGGGAAGAGAAACTCCTATTTACTAGTAAGCCAGTTTCATTAATAAAGACATTTATTATCTCGCTAAACAGGAAGTGGGTTACAGGAGGTGGTTTCTCAGTTGGAAAGGGGCTAGTTTCTTAAAAAAACAACAATGTGCATTTATCACTTTCACTTTATTAAAAACACCATCTGTACTACATAAATAAAAAGAGCAGACATACTGAAATGGGCACATAACAAATTGTACACGGGAGAACACTGATATATTTATTAACTTGTGCTGCTCAATCAAGAATTTTTGTAGAGACCTCCTGCTGTGCCTCTGCATTTAAATGTACTTTTTTGTTGTTGTTAATTGTCACCAGAGGATATTTTTCTATTGATTTTTGGAGAGTGGAAGGGAGGGGGTAAAACACAGTGAGAGAAACACCAATGTGAGAGAAACACATCGATTGGTTATCTCCTGGACTTGCCCTGACCAGGACCCAGGGTCGAGCCTGCAACCAAGGTATATGCCCTTGACCAGAATCGAACTGGGACCCTACAGTCCTCGGGCTGACGTTCTATCCACTGAGCCAAGCTGGCTGGGGCGAAATGTACTTCTTATTAATGCATCATTGTTTAGGAAGGTCAAAGCTCTGCCCTGGCTTCTTAAAAATTCAAGCCTGTATGTCTGTTACAGGTGTGCAAGGGAATAAACCTTTACAGTATATGTTCATCACATCCAAATGTCCAGCAAGACCCAGGCATTAGGTCATGGATTTTAGTCATGGTATAATGGTTAGTTATGCCATTTTAATTAGTTTACACTGGATTCCATTAAATTTCATTTGACAAAAAGATTCTTTTGCTAAAATGTTTCATTCCCATTCGCCTGCATCGTGCAAAATTAGGAAACATTAGAATCTAATTCTAACCTATTATTCCCGTGAAAGAATAGATTTTAGGGAGGATGGTTGTCAGAGATGTTTACATTTAAAGTGATGGAGTCAATTTTACACGGCAAAATTTACTAGGACCTCTAAAGAAAGTGAATCAAAGTATGTTTGATTCCCGTGAGTGAAATTAAAATGTACTAATTTTCAAAGTTATGCATTATTTTTTATTAAAAATACTAGTTCACACATTTTAAAACTCAAAACAGAACTGGCTGTCCACATTACATATTTTACAATATAGCCACCTAAAGACTTCCTTTGTGAGATGTAGAAGAAAGACAAGATTCAGTCAAAAGTTCCTGGTACTTAGGAAAGAAATTCCTTACTCAGATCACTACTATTATGCATACAACCGCCTCCTCAGAGCAATGTGAGGAATAAAAGGGACAGTGCATGGTGATAGCAAACTACCCTTAGATCACATTTCCCTGTCTTGGGCAACATCGTGGTCTTGGTTTCACAGAGGCCCTAAACAAGTAATCGAGGCAAAACTATTTTGCCGGACTAAAGTGGTCACACCAATGTAAAAGTCAACATGCAAGCTCTTAAGCCTTTCTAAACCATCCCAATGATGTTATACTGTTATGTGAAGAACAAATCTAACTACACGTAATCTGATCAGAGTCTCCAGCTATGTGGCCTGTTTCATCATAGTATGTTATTTATCAGAAATGCAATGCGTCAATGATGCACAAGTAAGAGAGGCTTAAGGTTTGCTAGAAGTTTTCAATGTATTTTTAAATTATACTGTAAAACAGTAAGCTCTTACAAGGATGTTTTATGATTACATCACAGCAAGCAACTGTCTACTGGGACAAAAATGATATGTTAAAAAGCAAATAAATTGCTATAATTAAATATGCACAACTTATTGACATTTTTCTTAAAACAAAAATTAGGGTTCATCCAGTGAAGCATAGGCGTTCTGCCACCACCTCTGTTAGCAAATGGAATCCAGTTCTAAAATTCCTGTGAGCTTGAATGTCTTGTAAAGTGTTACAGGGCTTTTGTTTTTCTTTTAGCCACTAAATTTTTCAGGAAAAATTCACCTATTTAGGAAAAATGAAAATAGATTAATATCAATTTAAAGTCAATGTCAGAATAATTATACTTCAGTGTTTCCCTTTAAATAAGATTTTTGTGTTTGTTGGCATTTCTCTCTTCTCAATGGCAATAATATCTCCTATATCTTTGGCTCTTTCCCCAACAATGATTAGTCATTATTCTTAAAATATTTTTTTTATGACCACTACAATCTCTACTATTATTCTTGTTTTTTTCCTCTTTATTATATTTTTCCATCACCATTTATCCCCCCTTCACCGTCTCCCACCTCCACCCACCTTCCTCTCCCCTGCAGTCACCATACTGTTGCCTGTATCCATGAGTTTTTTTCTTTTTTGTTCAATCCCTCCATCCCCCATAACCCACCCCCCACCACCAAAGCTGTCTGCCTGCTCTCTCACTATGAGTCTGTCTCTATTTTGCTTGTTAGTTCAGTTTGTTCATTAAATTCCACATATGAATGAAATAATTTACTATTATTCTTTCTAGTAACTCAGTATTATAAAGGATGACCCTATTGTATCTATGGGTCTTCTGTACATTTATTCCACACTATGTGTACTATCTATTCCTCATCACTGACAAAGGTATTGCTGTTGGCACAATTCATTTCAGAGAGCAATCCTGCTACATTATTAGCCTAGATGTGATGTTTATAAAACAGACTTCGTTTCAGTTGAGCAGACTCATCTGATGGAATCTCTTTAGCTCATTTCCCTCTAGGGAAGCAAGAGCTCTTCCTTTATAATGGCTTCTTCTCCGCCCCCTAAGGTGTGTCTATCTCTGTGACAGCACAGCTCAGTGCTTATTGGCAGAGCTCAGAGCTGCAGGTCTGATTTTATGAGTCTGATCAAGTCTCTTTGTCATCCAAATATACGAGTAGAATTGCAACCGTCCGTATACAATCACAAAGAATCCCAAAGCTCATAAACTAGCCAAGTAATGGAGAAAACAATCCTTGCTGCTCCATACCTCTATCTAAATCTGATAGGAGCGAAACAAATGTTATTATCAGATCCTAATGCATGGTCTGAATCTAATGTTCTATAACCAGATTTGATCTTTTACTGGTAATTTAAAAAGCATTAAAATGTTCGTAATTAATTTCCTTATAAATGTTAGAAAATTTCCTTAAAAACATACCACATACACAAAACCAAAAACAACAAAATAAAAACTCCTTTTAAATGACAGTACTTGACTGTAACCACTTTGGAAGCTGGTATTTTTCTATTCTTTATATATAGTGTTAGCTTGCTAGCACTGCCTGAAGAATAAATCACTTGTAATTATTAGTTTCCAAAGTCCCCACATTCTGTCAATGCAGTCAATCAAACTCTTGGATTTTGTAACTAAGATAAGCTATTATTTCTTCATTTAATTTCTTTACAGGAACACAATAAACATTACTTATACTTTGTATAATTTTTATAAATATAATTCATGCCAAATTTAAGCTTATCTATGATTTAGAGTTAGACCCTACTATAAAAGTCATTTAAAAGAGCATTAAGCCCTAGCCAGTTTTTCTCAGTGGGTAGAGGAGACCCAAGGGTTGGGATTCGATTCCAGTCAAGGGTACCTACAGTGGTTGCAGGCTTCTTCCCAGCCCCGGGCCCTGGTCAGGGCTCCTGCAGGAGGCAACCAACTGATGTGTTTCTCTCACATTGATGTTTCTCTCTGTCTTTCCCTCTCTATTCCATTTTCTCTAAAATCAATGGAAAAATATCCTTGGATGAGGATTTAAAAAAAATAAATAAATAAAAGGGATAGAGCAGATAAAAGTATTTAAAAAATAAAATGAAATAAAAAGAAAAGATCACTAACAGTAATAACATGGCTCAGACACATCCAAAAAATAACTAGCTGTTTATTCTTTTTTTTTTTTTTATATTTTATTGATTTTTTACAGAGAGGAAGGGAGAGAGATAGTTAGAAACATTGATGAGAGAGAAACATCGATCAGCTGCCTCCTGCACACCCCCTGCTGGGGATGTGCCCGCAACCAGGGTACATGCCCTTGACCGGAATCGAACCTGGGACCTTTCAGTCCGCAGACCGACGCTCTATCCACTGAGCCAAACCGGTTTCGGCATAGCTGTTTATTCTTCAAAAAATTATAATTAAGTCTGACAGGGCAAACACCATAAAGATCTCTTGGATTAAATTAAATTTTCAGATATGTTCTCATAAACCTTTTAATGGCCATTATCATGATTTTTAATCTCTTGGAAAAGGCTTTCATTTTCACTAGTCAGCTCAAACTATGGATCAAAATAGGAGCTAAAATTACAAAGGAGAAAAATTGCATGTAGCAAGTAAAAACAAAAAATGTTTATAGGGAAAATAATCTTAAGAATTTTTTTTCTGTTGCCTCTGGGAGGAAAAACACAAAGCTATTAATGTTGCAGGCAGCAATGCTGTCAAACACTTTTAAGGGTTTAATTTGATCTAAAATTTGGAGTTTGAAGAAACAACTGGCATCATTGTCAAATGACTACGTTTTCCAAAAAACTATATTATATGCTTGATGGATCTTTGTCATTTCTGAGTAACCTACTATTGATATCCAAGCATAGAATAAACTGATTACTTCTGCTTTCATCAGAGTAGCTGAGCTATTACATATTAAGGTAGGGAAGAGAAGGAGTCTTTATTTAACAAATGAACAACTAAGAGTAAACGTTCCCTCAATATGACCCTTATGAAACAAATCTCCTAAGGAAGTTCCCCCAAACCCTCCCCACTTTCTTTCTTCTTCACAAAAGACAACCACAACTATTAAAATGTAAATGTGGAAAGTTATGGCCTACATGAAACCATCCCGCACAGTCTACCTTACCTGCTTTATACGAAGAACGCACCAGAGGGCCACTTGCCGTATAATGAAATCCAAGGTCATTTCCTACTTTTTCCCTATATTTGAACTTTTCAGGAGTAATGTATTCTTCAACCTAGATTTAAAGAATTAATTTTGATTCTAGAATTTCCATAAATCATTTTGATTCTACAGAAAATTGATACCCATGCATTCAAGGTGGTTTCATAAAAAATTATTTATTGTTGAAAGTATTATATATATATCCCCTTGTCTCCCCCATTGACCTCTTCTAGCCTGCCCCCACCGCCAGCCACCACCCTATTGTCTGTGTCCATAGATTATGCATAGGTGCAAACAAATTCTTTGGTTGATCTCTTCCCACTCACCGACCCTCCCCTCCTTCCAGGATTCCGCAGTCTATTCTATGGTTCTGTGTCTCTGGATCGATTTTGTTTATCAGTGTATTTTGTTCATTAGATTCCACATATGAGTGAGATCATGTGATACTTACCTTTCTCTATCTGGCTTATTTCACTTAGCATGATACTCTCCAGACCCCTCCATGCTGCCTCAAAGGGTAAGAGATCCTTTTTTACTGCTGCATAGAATCCCAAGGTATAAATGTACCACAGCTCTTTTATCCACTTGTCTACTGATGGGCACTTGGGACTTTAACTATTGTAAATTGTGCAGGTTTGATTCTGGTCAAGAGCACATGCTTCAGTTGCAGGCTTGATGTCTCTCTCTCTGACTCCCCCTTCCTTCCACTCTCTCTAAAATCCATGGGAAAGTATCCTCAGATGAGGATTAACAAACAAACAAACACACAAATAATAAAAAGTAGGATCTAGCCGAATCCGGTTTGGCTCAGTGGATAGAGCGTCGGCCTCTGGACTGAAGGGTCTCAGGTTCGATTCCGGTCAAGGGCATGTACCTGGGTTGCGGGCACATCCCCAGTGGGAGATGTGCAGGAGGCAGCTGTCGATGTATCTCTCTCATCGATGTTTCTAACTCTCTATCTCTCTCCTTTCCTCTCTGTAAAAAATCAATAAAATATATTTTTAAAAAAAAGAGTTTGGATGCAATGTCTACAATTAATAAAATAATTTTTTAAAAAAGTGGGATCTACCTTTGCACAGTGACTCCTTGGTCTGGTTTTCTCCCTGATTTTATTGTTTGGATAATGACTATTAGCATCTGAAGGGAGCCTTGCTTTCCCCCTCCTTCTTCCCCCACCCTATCCAGTCCCTTCCCTCATTGGAGGTCAGATATCCCTCAGCAATAGAGCAAGCCTGAGAATTATTCTCAGATAGAAGACACCATTAAGCTTATTGTCACTAAGGTTTAATATTTGTTTTGCATGTGATTTTATTTTTGACTACTTTTTCATGGGAACCATTATAGAATTCTGGAAGGCAAATTTATATGGCAACTATTTCCTTTAGCACGGCCAAAATAAAAATTTTAGGCTCAGAATATCCTTGCAAAGGTTAACATTATTTGCAAATCTTTATATAATTTTATTCATATTTTAATGTGTTTGTTTCAATTGCTACAGGTGTGAAAAGATTGAAAGACGTGGAGTACCTGGGGACAGTAGCCAGAGTTTGCCTTCATTCAGACTACGCTGCTGCTCTTTCTGAAGGCAAAGTCCAGTTACACTTGGTAAGTATAACTGTGAGGGCCTGGAGGCCTGCTCAGGTAACTTAGTGTCTTATTAAAAACTTCGGTCAGGAAGCAGCCTTGTACAGACTAGCTAGAAAGCCAGGCGTGGATAAAGGATTAACAAAAACCTTTGCCCTCTGCAGGAGATGGTCAATTAGTTTTCTAGCTCTGGCAAGAAACCCGCCAGTTTATCAACGGTGCTGCTTCCAACAGTGCTTATGGTAAAAATGACCCTGTTGGTAACTGCATGGAGAAACCATAAATGAACTATAAAAGCTGATGGGAATGCCACACATCTGGGCCTCCTGGAGTGCACTGACTCGTACATTTAGGCACGTTGCTTGTGGGGGTCCTTGAAACTAGGCCTCTTGAGTTGTCCAAGAGATACTGGCCCTGGAATGTGGGGCTTCCAAACCAGGGCATCTGCCACATCTGTTCTTGGCTCTTTGCCTCTGGGAAGCCAGGGATTAGCCACCAGACAACTTCAGAGCCTGTGTTCCCGCTAAAGAGGGGGGTCTAATGCTGCCCTGCCCGTAAGCCATGCTTCCTGCCTGACGCCTTTCTGAGTAAACTGGCCTATGCAGTCTGCTGAGTCTGAATGTTTAACTGAACCTAAGGAAAAGATCCTCCCCTACGAGCCACTGCTATTCTTTGTTTTAGATAGAAAGTGAACTCTTGGATACGCAAGAAGAGCGTGAGACTCGACTCTTCCCAGCAGTGGATGATAAGTGCCGGATCTTATGTCATGCCTTAACTGGTGACTTCCTCATCTACGGCACAGATGTACGTACTACTGTCTTCTTTAATATAGAGCACAGGGCAATTTCTAGTTTTTACTTTGTGATATATTTTATATGTATATACATATAGTGTGTCCTGAAAACTATACACACACACTTTGAATAATTATAAAGGCAGTGTTTATTAAAATACATTTCATTTTTATAACTGAGCTATCAGATCTTAAAGTATGTATACATATTTTTGGGACACCCTGTACATATTATATATTACATGCATATTATATTATACATTACATCCTATCTAATAAAAGAGAAACATTGTAATTAGCCCTACGTCCGCTACCCTTCCCATTGGCTAATCAGGGTGATATGCAAATTAACTGCCAGCCAAGATGGCGGCCTGCAGCCAGGCAGCTTGAAGCTAACATGAGGCGTGCTTGCTTCAGTGACGGAGGACTCTAACGTTTCCCTCCTGCCTTGCCAGCCTCTGAGCTTGCAGTTTGAAACATTGTTAACAAATATAGAAGCTAAACAAAACCCCAGAAACCTGCTTTCAGCCAGCCAGGATCTCAGAGCTGGAGTTGATACAGTGTTTCGATTGTAGAACCCAAACAAACCAAATACCTGCTTTCAGCAGCAGAGGCCTCAGAGCTGGAGCCAGAGCTAAAGCTGGCCCAGAATTTTAAAAAAAAGGAAAAAAGGGGCAGTTGGGAGCTTCAGTCACCCGCCACCCTGAAAACAGCCCTCAGCCCCTCACCCAGACTGGCCAGGCACCCCAGTGGGGACCCCCACCCTGATCCAGGACACCCTCCAGGGCAAACCAGCCGGCCCCCACCATGTACCAGGCCTCTATCCTATATAGTAAAAGGGTAATATGCCTCCCAGCACCGGGATCAGCAGAGCTGAGAGGCCTCAGCGTGACAGGGGGCAGTGCCCAAACCCCCTGATCGCCCTGCTCAGTTGTGTGACAGGGGGTGGGGCCACAATCTCCCTATCTGCCCTGCTCTGGCGTGACAAGGGAAGGCACACCAATCCACTGATCAGCCCTGCTCTGTGCCTGATAGGGGGGAGCTCTCCAACCCCCTGATCGCCCTGCAGCTCTGTGTGTGACAGGGTGCGGCGGCGCAAACCTCCCCCGCTCCACGGGCCCTGCTCTGTGTGTGACAGGGGGTGGCGCCCCAACCCCCCAATCGGCCCTACCCTGAGCGTGACTAAGGGGGGCATTGCAACCTCCCAATCCGCCCTGCTCTGAGCCCAACCAGGTGCTGCACCTAGGGATTGGGCCTGCCCTCTGCCACCTGGGAGCAGGCCTAAGCCAGCAGGTCGTTATCTCCCGAGGGGTCCCAGACTGGGAGAGGGGACAGGCCGGGCTGAGGGACCCTCCCTGCCCCCCACGTGCACAAATTTTTGTGCACCAGACCTCTAGTATTATATAATAGACATAAGTAAATATATGTAGAGCACATAGGTGGCATGATTTGTTAGTATTGAGTGCTTTTGTGATTATAAGCAATTTTGAGAGCATAGTAAAAAGGGCAAACTATTGAGTGTAGAATATATGGATTTAAATATCACGGTTTTTTTTAAACTTATAGGTAGATTTTTATTTTATTTCTTAAATATATTTTATTGATTTTAGAGAGGAAGGGAGAGGGAGAGTTAGAAATATCGATGAGAGAGAAACATCCATCAGCCACCCCCTGCACGCCCCCTACTGGGAGTTGAGCCCGCAACCAAGGTACATGCCCTTGACCAGAATCGAACCCAGGACCATTCAGTCCACAGGCCGACACTCTATCCACTGAGCCAAATCTGTTAGGGCGATATTTGTTCTTTTACTTGATTGTTGCTCTTTAACCCCTCCAAGCCTCATTTTCCTTATCTGGATGCTTTAAAGACTTAATTTGATGACGAATATAAGACACCTCATTCAACTTTAGATTTCCAGTGCCTACGTTTAGTAGGCATTTAATAAGTATTAAAATTAAAGGAATACTGAGGACCAGTGTTTTGGTCCTTTGAACGACCAATACCCTGTACCTCTAAGGATTACGTTAGCCACATGGACATAAAGCATAGTTACAGTAATAGCATCTAATATTTGTCAAAATGTTTTCAAAGATTTTTCAAAGCATTTCTTACCTATCTTGTTCAGTCTCTAAATTCAGTAAAGTTGGTAGAAAAGGTGTTGTTTTCCACATGAGAAGAACAATGATTCACTATTTCCATTTTCTCTCATTAAATTGTTTATTAAAAAGAGCAGGTCTTAAAGCATGCTTATTGCCATAGAAAGACTTTATAAGTTGAAAATATCAATCTTTGTGCTAATTTAATAACATTAAATACAATACGTTTGCATGACACCTAACATTATAAAGCCTGATCTCACTCACCTCATTAACTATATAAAATAAGCAGGGACGTTTTAGAGATGAGGACACTGAAGATTGAGAGGTCACTAAGTTTGTGACAGAGGTGGAACTTGGACAAGCAAGATTTCCTGATGGAAAATGTACTCTTTCCACTATGCCACAGGCACTTAAAGTAAGAACTCAAAGTGTAGTGGCCTGTCAATAAGGCAGTACTTATCTGTCTCATTCTTTTTTTTTTAATTGAAGTATAAGTGACATAAACATTAAACATTATATTAGTTTCGGTGCACAACATACTGATTTGATATTCGTATATATTACAGAATGATCGCCATAGTAAATCTAGTTAACATCCATCACCATACATAGTTACAAAATTTTGTTTCTTGTGATATATCTCATTCTTAAGTGATTCTGAAAATATTGGTGCTTTTTAGCAGCTTTACTGAAGTATAATTGGTAATAAACTACACAAGTTTAAATGAAGTTTTGACATATGTATGCACCTGTGAAACACCATCAACTCAATCAGTATAATGGACGTATTTATCACCTTTAAACGTTTTCTCAATCCCTCCTTCCCACCCCTCCCCACTTACTGCTTTGTCACTATAAATTAGTTTGTATTTTCTAGAGCTTTATATAAACGGTTGTGGACTTGATCCCCAGTTTGTAGTGTGTAGGAGGCAGCCAGTCAATGATTCTCTGTCATCGTTTCTGTCTGTCTCTCTCTCCCTCTCCCTCTCTCTCTGAAATCAATAAAATAATATTTTTAAAGAAAAGCCAGCAGCTTTGTAATTTTACCTGTGGGAAATAAAGATTTAATTAAAATTATCAACATTTGGCAATTCATGGTAGCTGTACCTTGAGGTGGCGCTTTGTTGGCTGCATATACTGTCCTAAAGTCAAACAGTCCACATCTGCCTCACGAAGTGCTAGAGAAAAAAAACACACCTTATATTAGCAGATGTTTCTATGATGCTAAAATTATACATTTAAGTATAATTTTTCAGAAAGTAATTTCACTATAGAACAGTGTGAACTTTATCCTGGCCTATAATCCTGACGTTGGAAAGTAAGACTGTACCCATTCATTCAAAGGTACTTATGTGCCAGAAGATATAGTAAGGACTGAAAACATAGGAATGATTAAGACATTCATGGGGGCTGATATAAAGATGAATGACTCCAGCCCTGACCGGTTTGACTCAATGGATAGAGCATCGGCCTGTGGACCAAAGGGTCCCAGGTTCGACTCCGGTCAAGGGCATGTATCTGGGTTGTGGGCACATCCCCAGTGGAGGGTGTGCAGGAGGCAGCTGTCGATGTATCTCTCTCATCGATGTTTCTAACTCTCTATCTCTCTCCTTTCCTCTCTGTAAAAAATCAATAAAATATATTTTAAAAAATCAAAAATAAAGATGAATGACTCCAGTACTATGGAATAAAATGCTAAAATAGGGTTGAAAAGTGTCTAGAGCAGGAGTCTGTTAGGCAGAAAAGATGAAGAGAACAGTATATCAAAGGCCCCAAAACACCCACATTGTAGACCAGACATGCTATATAAGGCTTTAGGTAAATGTATAAGATTTACACTGGGGATGTGATTTGATCTTTGACTTTGGAATCTTTCTAGTAAAACATTATGAACTGTGGAAAAGAGAAGCTTTTAATTACTATTTGAACTCATTACTCTTTGAAACAATAAATAGCTACAAGAAGGCCAAGGACTTTCAGGTAAAATAAAAGCTGTTATATTTAAAAATTTAAAAAGTCTAAGAATCACAAAGCAAATGGGCTTACGGGACTAAGGTTAGCAAAGTCCAAAATATATCATGTTATGTGACAATGTTGCCAGTAAGCTCTTTCTCAGAGGCCTGGATTCATCTTACTCATCTCTGAACTGTCAGTGCTGGCCAGAGCTCCTGGTACCTAGATGGCTCTCAAAAATTGTCTAACTGAACAAGAAAAGTGGACAAAATCATGTTTTTACTTGATACAAGGGTAGGAAATAAAATGGGATGCAAATTTCATATCTTGACCTTCCTGCATATCATTCCACAAAATTCTAAGAAAACATACATCCTTCCCTTTTTATGTTACTATTTCTAAACATATACTGTACTTAATTCTTGGAACTTTCACTGAGATTATGGAGGGAATCGTAATGGGGCCTTCAAAGTGGGGATCCTGTCCAGCCACTGTGGCTCAGTGGTAGAGCATCGGCCCATGAACCAGAAGGTCACGATTCTATTCCCAGTCAGTGCACGTGCCCAGGTTGTGGGTTCGATCCCCAGTAGGGGGTGTGCAGGAGGCAGCCGATCAATGCTTCTCTCTCATCATTGATGCTTGTATCTCTCTCTCCCTTCCTCTTTGAAATCAATAAAAAAGTGAGGTTCCTGCTATG